CTATCTAGCAATAAAATTTTTTACATTTCACTTTTAGTGACTATTTTAAAATAAACTGTTGATAATGCATATTCTTTAGTTATTTGCTATAATCATATGTAATATTTGAAAACCTCCTAGGCTAGTTTCTTAAAAACTATTAAAAATCATGTATAAGCTGGGCGAGGTGGCTCACACCTGTAATCCTAGCTCCTCTGGGAGGCCAAGGCGGTGCGGATTGCTTAAGGTAGGAGTTCAAAACAGCCGAGCAAGAGCGAGACCCCGTCTCTACTATAAATAGAAAGAAATTAATTGGCCAACTGATATATAATAAAAAATGTATTCGACCACTCAGATGTTTTTAAAATAAAAAAAAAAAAATTAGCCGGGCATGGTGGCGCATGCCTGTAGTCCCAGCTACTCGGGAGGCTGAGGCAGAAGGATCGCTCGAGCCCAGGAGTTTGAGGTTGCTGTGAGCTAGGCTGATGCCACGGCACTCACTCTAGCCTGGGCAACAAAGCGAGACTCTGTCTCAAAAAAAAAAAAATCATGTTATACTTGGGAAATATAATAAATGGGCTCCATGCTGACTGAATTTAAAGACATACAAAATTTTCTCTCATTGGAAACTAAGAAAATGATAATTCAGTTTAAATGTCTTTCTGCTGGTAATACAAAGTTCTTATAAAAGCCTTTAAAATAGTATCATCTAACATTTTGTATTACTTGTATTTCTTATTTCTCATTTTAGGGAAAATACCGAGGTATTGTTGAAGCTATTGCTGGGAATACTGAAGAAATGCTCTTTTGCTTGAATTTTACCCTCATATACCGCCCTCGTTTAAATTAGAATAAATTGAGCATATTTTTTTTTCTCAATGGTATTGTTCTTGTTTTAAGGGTACTCAGGATTTGTTTTAATCAGGTATGGTAAGATAGGACAAATAGCTATCAGAAAGGCAAACGTTTATCCTCACAGATCTCTAGAAACAGGAGGCAGGGTGGGCCACCCAGACAGCGCCAGGGCTGGTCAGGAGTTGGAGGTGCGGGGACACATGGGCAAGAGCTTTCATTTTGTTTTCCATGGGAAGCAGCACTGGAGGTAGGGTAGGCAGTGTTGACCTAAAAGAAATAAGCTGAGGCAAAATGAATTTAAGTAGAGAGTTTATCTGGGCCAAGCCTGAGCACTGTGTAAAACAGGAATGAGAGCAGGAGTGACTCCATGACAGGCTGCACTTCCTGGAGTAGGCCTAAGTTTCGGTTTCCTCAAAACTTCGTGGGACTGCACCCTTCCCCCGAAATGACGCATGCTGCTTTTGAAGGAGCCAATCAGGAGCCGACAGGATCAGCCACTTTTAAAGGAACCAGTGGACTAAGGGGGGAGGGGGGGAAGGCGTACCCAGCGTGTATAACTTGCAGAAAAGTATAAAAGCTTGACTTATACCCCAGGGCTGGGTCCTGGTTCCTAGGGAGGCCACTGCTATGTTGGCAATCTGGGACCTGGACCCTAGCTCGAGCTAGCCAATAAACTCCTTTGTGCTTTGCAGCCTCAGCGATTCTGCCTCTCTGTTCTTGGGGCGGAAAGAAACCAGCTCTAACAACTGCAACCCAGGAACATTGAATATACACTTTGATTAAGCAGGAGTTAACGGAGGATTTTTTTGTATAGGGAAAGAGAGGCAGTTCCTGAGTTGTGTGAACTAAAATAAAATCTTAAGCCCCCTAGCCAACTAAATGGACCCCTCTTGGCCAAGAGGACCCCAGAAAAACATTAAAACTGAGTCGTGGGCTATTAGGACAAGGGAGGTCAGACATGCCTAGTCATGTCCCCTCCATTTTGGAGTTCCTCTTTGTACCCATAAGACGGTAAATCATTAACAGGCCTAAGGCTATGCAAGACAAAGGTTAAACCACACCCGGAGGCCATCCATTTACTTAAAAGACCACTTGAGTCTCATTTAGTTCCAGCCACACAATCTCCATCTTATTCCTCCAATATGATCAGCATGCTCAGACCTTTGCAATTCATCCTTCCCTAAACATGGAATGTACTTTTTCAAAATATTTGCACAAGTGTAACAGAGGGAATGGCCTGAAAAAAAATAAGAACCAGCAAAATGATTACTGTCTCTTTAACACAGCCTCCACTCGTTTTTTTTGAGAACTAAAACCTACATCCCTGCCTCAGGCCAGTGGTGGGGAAGGGCAGGGTAAGTCTTTTGTTATTTGTGCTAAAGGAGATGGCTCAGCCCAGGCTTGGTAAAAGGAGGTCCTGGGTGGAGGTCAGGAGGTTGTCTTCAGTAGAGATGGGATGATCAGAATCATCACCTGTGCTTGTACGAACAGTGATTGCCTGAAGCTGAGAACCCACCCTTTAAAAGCTCTGTATTTCTGCTTACTATGAGGACAATAGCATTTCAGACAGGAGTCTCCATCCTCCTCCTTCGCTGGCAAAGTAATAAAATATCTCTTTCCTTCCTCCCCAAACCACTTGTCCTTGTTCTGTTGATTTGACCTTGTGGACAAGTGCGGGAGTTTTTGGTAACACAATTTATTCTTTTTTCCTCACTTTATTTTATGCTCAAATATAACTTCTTCCAAGAGTCCTCCCCTGACCAGTGTTATTACACCCTATATAACAGAGGATCTAATCAGGTAGAAGCTTATTTTTTCCTTATCCAGGATTGATGTGGTGCCTTAAGGATCTAGACACTTTTTCTCTGGCTCTGGTCTGAATGGTCCAAAATGCCTCCTCACTATATCCACACGACCCACATAGCACCTTTCCATTATTAACAACACCTCTCACACAATATTTATAAAATAATTAGACATAATTCTTTTAAGTCTTGTTTATTGCTGGTCTTTTCTTGCTCATAAAGAGTTAATGACTTATAAAAATACTGCTTAGACATTGGCCTTGTATTCTTTCTCTTGGTGTCATCTTACAGTTTTCAGAAAACTGCTCTTTGAATTTCTTCACTGTATTTTATAGTATTCTAACTGGCTTAGTTGATCTGATTTCAATTCATCCCTTATGTCCTACTATTAAGAAAAGAAAGTTTATGAAACTGAACTTTTCCTTGCACCTGAACAATTTTATGATCTCATATTTCTCCTACTAATAATCCTGCTTCCTTCCCTCCTTCCCCCCCAATAATTGGTTTCACCTTTCAGTGAATTCCTTAGTTGAGCTTTGTAAGAATTCCTAGGGATTTCCACATTGCTCGTGGAAGAATAACTGTCTTTTGTAAAGTTATAAAGTAAATAATGGCCATTACATTGGGCTAGCTTTCCAAAGTCGTTTTTAAATTACACTCTTTGTTCTTCTTAATTCTTTTTTTTTTTCCTCTAGCGAATAAGTAGAATTGTTTTTTTAGAAACTTGCCCTTGATCTGCAAACATAATTCAACTAAATCCTGAAAATAGCAATTTTTTTTTATTTTGATTAGTTTATGACACCATCACAAGCATATTATGGAAAACCCCATGGTTTGTGGAAATACCCATTTTCCTCATGGTTGATTTCCTTTAGGAATTAAGAAAAGACCATGGTTTGATTGTGTGGCCTGGGCAGCTGAGGCCGAGAATTTACATGGATTGCTATTCTGTATAAAGAACGCTGGGGTGGGCAATTTTCAAATGAACCAGAAGACCCAAATTAACAAAAATCAGGGTAGACCTAGAAGGTAGTTATTCTATCAGAGATTGGTCCCTTGAGGCCAGAGGTTCAGGTAAATCTCACAAGTCCTCCTAGAGAGTTACATTAATACAAACCTTTCCTGATATTACTTTAAGGTGAACAAAATTAGAAAGTTTTAAATGGCCCATTTGCTTTTGTTTTTATAAATTTAAAATTGCTCTTTAGAGGGTGTTGTCAAGTTATGAGGTTCTATAAAGCAGTTCTGTCATTTATATTCTTTTTCTTTTTAAAATTAGAATTTTGTGGCTGGCGTGGTGGCTCACGCCTGTAATCCTAGCACTCTGGGAGGTTGAGGTGGGAGAATCGCTCAAGGTCAGGAGTTCCAAACCAGCCTGAGCAAGAGCCAGACCCCGTCTCTACTAAAAATAGAAAGAAATTAATTGGCCAACTAAAAATATATAGAAAAAATTAGCCAGGCATGGTGGCACATGCCTGTAGTCCCAGCTACTTGGGAGGCTGAGGCAGGAGGATGGCTTGAGCCCAGGAGTGTGAGGTTGCTGTGAGCTAGGCTGATGCCACGGCACTCTAGCCGGGGCAACAGAGTGAGACTCTGTCTCAAAAATAAATAAAATTTCTCTTTCAATTAAAAAAGTTCTTTCCAGCCTCTTAATTACAAAGCAATGTACTTCATTGTAACAAATTCACACAGTGCAAAGAATAAGTGAAATTCTCCTCTTCATATTTCTCTACCCTACTCCCCTCCCCCAAAACCACTCTTAACAGTATGGCATGTGACTTTTCATTTTTAGGCTTTTGTTTCATATATATAAATAAAATCCTGTACAAACTATTTTTATATACATGTATATGTATATTCACATTTTAAAACTTAAAATTACTGTATATTGTTTTTTGATTTGAATCTGGGAAATGTTTCTAAGTTAGTACACATAGATCTACCTCATCATTTTTAATGGCCACATAAATTTCTATTGTTTGGATATATACTATAATTTAGTTACTCATTTTTGTATAGAATATATAGTATAGGCTATTGATGTAGAATATAGTGCTAAACACTGTATTAAGTTATTATGTTGTTTAATTCTCAGAAAAACTCCAAGAGGTAGATAATATTGTCTTCATTTAATACATATGGAAACTAAGCTTAGAGAAGTTGAATAACTTGCCTAAGGTCACACAGTAAATGGAGAATCTAGAATTCAATCTCCTTGCCATAAATCTCCAAAATCTGTGTTACATTTCCTATCATTTTGGTTGGATTTTAGATTTTTTCATGTATTTTGCTACACCACATTTTCTGTAATAAATATGTATTGATTTTTATTTTCATCGAAAATGACTTAAAAGACTATTTCATTATTATTATTATTTTTGAGACAGAATCTTACTCTATTGCCCTGGCTAGAGTGCCATGGTGTCAGCCCAGCTCACAGCAACCTCAAACTCCTGGGCTCAAGCAATCCCCTACCTCAGCCTCCTGAGTAGCTGGGACTACAGGGATGTACCACCATGCCTGGATAATTTTTTTCTATATATTTTTAGTTGTACAACTAATTTCTTTCTATTTTTTTAGTAGGGACAGGGTCTCGCCGTTGCTCAGGCTGGTCGTTGGAATCTGAGTCAAAACGATCCACCTGTTGCTGCGCGTAACGGGCTAGGATTACAGGCATGACCACATAGAAAATGAAATGGGGAGCCACTGTATATGCCAGTTGTGGTCTATGGCTCGACTAGCCGGGAATCCCCTTAGTCCCACATGTTCATACCTTCTCAGGAGAGGCTGCAGGTCAGAGTGGCTTCGACCTGCCTGAGAGGCCAGAAGTTTGAGGTTGCTGTAGAAGCTGGATGAACGAAACGGCGCACTCGCATCTAGAGCCGGAGCAGAAGTAGAGATAATGGCAATTCGGTGTTCTCACTAATTATACTATGATTTTATAAGTTAAGATTTATATAATGAATAATTAGCTAGGACTTTTAAGTATTTCGATGAATAATCAAAATTACATATTTATCTACAGCACAGGAAGTAGAAACAGAAAAATAGAATGGGGGGATGATGAGGCTTGGGTGTGGCTAATCACCCCAATCAGCATCTCAATGGCACCGAAAGCTGTAATGCATTCTTCTCGGAACTATAGCTGGAGGGCTGGGTGCTATTTTCATCTTAGGCTATTTTCATGCGTAGGACAAGTCAGGACAAGTCGTTGGAATG